GACTCTGCCGACAGTCATAAATGTCCTAAGCTCTAAAATTATGTTCATCAATGAGCTGATTATTAAGGGGCATGCGAAGGAAAATTTCTCAAACCATGGTGTATGGTGTAAGGAAGATGGTTGTGTATTCAAGGCCGTCTTTTGTCCCTTTTGTATGGACCATGATACTTGCCTTGGTGTCCATGTGTTAGCAACTGACGACTCAAATTTTAACTTACAAAACAAGGTAAAATTTATGAGGGCATTTACATACATACCACACAATTCTTACATAGCATATCTTGTACCTAAACGTTCATATTTACATAAATAACACTCAAATCTTATCATCACATAAAAAAAACCACTACCACTAATTTTTTTAGAGTGAAATACACTTTTTAATGTGTAGGTATCAAATACCAAGGTGTTATAAATGTAAATACCAAACTTTTGATGTTTAGATATGTAAATGTATAAGAATCGTGTGGTGTCTAGGTAAATTTCCCAATATATAATTATTTGTAATTTGTGAAGTGGTTCTTGCACTTTCTGACATTAGGAACTTGGGAAGGCTCAATTTGTTGTTTCCTTCGCAGGTTCTATTCTATGCTGATTGCCTCTGCATCAGGGAACCAAAAGCATTTGATGAGGTATATTGCTTATCTATTGCATCTTAGGCACTCTAACAATATATTCTCATCTAAAGATGTCTATATGTTTCACATTAGGCTTACCACTGAATGTTGGATTTGACATACTTGACCATATTGTTACATTCAGTATCTGAATATCGGATTTCTCCCCATTTCTGATAAACTTTACATTAGTGCCCCTGAAAGCTCACTCATTCATTGTTTCATTCTCAGAGAACTCTGACCAAAAGTGGAAACCTTTGGAAGTGTTCGGATCATCTTCAAAATGGGAGTTTTACTTGTGAAGATCCGCTGGAAAAACCTGCTTTTGATACGAAGCAAAAGCCAGCTGCAATTATGAACAATACGGACACACCGCAGTCCTTCCCAGTTGAAAATGAGAAACATAACTTGAAAGCTGCAAATAAGAAGATTGCTTCCAGTCCAAAGCAAAATCCGGTTGCTCGTAAGAACGCTGACCGTTTTCAACCCAAGCCGGTAGAAATTGAGAAATTTGCTTACAAAACAGCAACTAAACCATCAAACTTTGAGAAATTTCCTTCCGACGCCCAAACCATAATTGATCAAACTGAGAAATTTGCTTACTTCTGTCACCCAAAAGCTTCTAATTCCTTGAATACAACATCATCAAAGGTTTAAAACCTTTTATCATGTTGATCAGAGTTTTTTAAAAAATTTTTTTTTTTCTAATTTTATTTTCGTTTGTCATTCGAGTAATAACATTTATGGTTCTGTTGTGCAGCTTAAACTACCAAAACGTCAATAAAATCCCTCAAAAAACGAAGAATCCAGCCTTTAGATGCTGATTGGACTGCCACGTGTTCATATTACACTCCAACGAAGTCATAAAAATAGGTATTTATAAAATCATTCTAATCAATGCAAGCATACAAGGCCCATCAATTATTCTGTTCATTGCAGTTAACCTTTGCTATTACTCTTGAACTTTTGAAAAATAAGGGTTAGCTGCTGCTTCTCCAAACGTTTAAGCACTGCAACTGAAGTAGTTCTGTATATATATATATATATATATATTTTTCATGATTTCTTGTTTAAATGTTATTGATTTTCTCACGTTTTGCCCTTTCAATTATTTCTATAAAGCAAATATTGATATTGAATCGGTTTAATTGAACTATTCAACCGTGTAAATACTAGTCAATATAAGTTCTAGAAATCTTTTTGTTTGTCATATTGGAACTAGGTGTGATTGAAATATTTGAAATTGCATTTTTTGGATTGCCTAGTTTTCTCTAAGTTGTAATTTTAGGCCAAAGTTATTTAGACATCCTAAATAGTTTAAATTTAGTCAAATCATCAAAGTTTAGCTTAAAACATTGAACCTTAATTGAAATTATTGAAAGTTAATAGGAATTTATTGTTTAATTTTTATTAAAACAATATATTTTGAAAACATATATTTATTCAATGTTTTATGGAACCTTTAATATGAAAACAATGAAAACTAAATATCATAACCAACAATTAATATATTTTGAAATGACCATAATTGAAAGGAGCATAAGAGCTGTCATTGGAAGGTAAATGTTGGATTGTTAATTGCTTGTGAATTTTTAGCTATTAGTGGACTGAGGCCAATTGCTTTGGACCCCATTGTCTTGATAGGATGGAATACAATGCAATCAAATGAATGAATATTAGAAATTGATGGTTGGCATATGTTGAATGTTGATTACTAGAAGTGTTGATATTCATCATCAATCACCAAGATATGTTCTGCGACGATCGAT